GGATCCCATACCCTGTCAGCCCTATGTGGTATGGCAAGCCATGACAAGGGTGATAATCGGTGTCGCGCTTCGCGCCAGCGAGACGACGACCTTACGGTTCACCAACATGCGGTGTAAGAAAGGATAGGTAAGACCGTGCCGCAATTCTATAGTCGATTACTGTGGCGGTGTATGTGGCTAGTAATCTGTTCACCCGGCCGCAGGGTTACCGATAGAGTTCATTTACATACTGCTACTCCTACGGTGTAGCCCCTGCTGACCGTGGGGGTTCGCAACATCATTTTACTGGTTGATGGAACTCAGGGGTACGCAGGGCCTAGAAGCTGACTGCGACTGTACCATGAACATGATCGCTTTAAGCGAGTTGGTACCATTGTCGCGTGTCGTGCGGTTCCTCGTTTGGTGGTTCTGGCTACGGTGCATGAACGGTGAAGTGCGGCCGATCCAGCCTTACATGCTGCATGACGCTCTTCGGCTGTTGCCCGAACATCAGAAGTACTCCGGTCGGCCCGGGAGTATGATCATGCACTGTTACATCCGAGTTGACGATTTGGAGTCATTTGATTGAAGTCAGAGTTGACAGTAAGGAAAGGGTGGGAGATGTTTACATGACCAGCATGGAATTTGACTCGAAGCACCGTGCTTCAATGACGGACTAGAAGCAAGCCAATCTAATACAAGACCGAAAATGATATGAAGAATTGCAGAATGCGAGCTTATCCATACCAACTTTGGTTGAACAAGTGACCAAGAAGATGCAAACAACCACTGGATCTGTGTCGCCCTGCGACAGCCGACCCGTAAAGCATAACTGCTCCGAACCAAAAAAAAATGCCCAGATAAATTACAGAAGACCAGCGAGGAAACACGCCATGCGAACAGGTATGGAAACATACGACAATACTAGTGAGCGAGATTCAGGCCGGTTTTGATGGCGATGTACCGTTGGACCTGCAGCATCGTGCGTAAGGCGTGGATTGTGGCGTCGGCATAATCGAAAGGAACTGATACTGCCGCCCTTACTGCATATAGCGCAAAGCATTTTCTCATCCATGCCGATGCTTGCAAAGTCTCTTCTGAAGAGGAGTGCGGTGAGGATCGAGATGCTGCTGCGCCCACGAGAGCTACCCAGAGAAAAACGCCAGACAATTCGGAGCCCCAGCAGGTCTGGACTTTCGTCTTTCCAAGGGCGGAGTGTAAAGCTGATAGAAGTGTGCCGCTTTCAGTACTAGATCCAGATATGCCCGCGTGCATAATGTTTGCCGATTCCACAAGTGTTGCCCCATGAACTATCGATCTACAGTAGATCAAGGCGGCGATTCGACAGCTTTCGTAGACCCAATCTAGCGAGTGATCGTCCTCGGCTGAAGGCAATAAAAGCAGGTCAGAGTATATGTCCTGGAGTTCTGTGTCGCATAATGCCAACTGACCACTTGAGATCATATGAGGTTCTCCTTTGTGATTCCATCTTGCCAGAAATGTGTTGGTACACCTCTGCATCTTCCATATGATATCAGTTACGGCTGCGGAGTAGACTCGGTATGAAGGCGGCGTATGATTTTGGGGAGCTAAAAGCGGCGAGATGGGATTGTTGTGGTCAAGCCAGGCCTCAGAAGACGCTCGTGGTGTGAGTTCTGCGGACACGTCTTGTCCTCGACAGATGGCGAAGGTGAGCATAACCCTCGATAAGATTAGTCGATGGCAAGATCTAAGTATGCCTTACTCACAAAGTCATAAATGTCGCAATATTGGCACCTAGTCCGTCCTGTTGATTCCTCAAACAGGTCACCAAGCCATCCTGGTGTACACCAAATGCGTCTTCGTCGGGGCTTCCGATCTCGCTGATAAGCATATGGAGTATGCTAATTATGGTGGTATCATCGGTGTTCAAGCGGGTCCGAAACAATCCTAGAACCCTGGTCTTCGCATACACAGTAAGGTCACTGTCGTATAACAGGCCCTCATCAAGGTCTTGATAGACAAGTGTAGCGTGTACATGACTGAGGAATGAAAGGTGATTGCCGCAAACATACTGCATCCAAGCTTGGTCTGCATTCGTTAGTGGGTACATTTTGCAGAGATAATGCGCACGTACCGTAGCAGTAGAAGGTTGTAGCACGGATCCAATCACGCTTCAACTCACTGAAAGGCTCACGCCTCAATGCGTCGACCCCTGGAAAAGGATATCCAGAGACCTCCCCGAAGACTGGAGGCGTGCTATGAGCTGAAGCTTCGGCTATCGCAGAATGTATTCGAGCGGCAAGCACTCGCACAGGATGTGTGGAAGGTGATAGTGTATGGAACTCATAGCGATCCTGCTCCCATACAGTGTCATGGCGCCTTCCGGTTACAGGCGCCTGTGGAGTGTCTACCTGTGTTGTGTTACGAGAATCGCCTGTTCCTGGGCTGGGTGTGCGAGTCTTGATAACGGGTGTCCTGCTGCCTTCTCGGCTGCCACCTGTGTCCGTAGGCGATAACCCTTCACGATGTGTATACATAACATGTGACCGTACTCTTCTCATGGTTCCTCCAGTCTTGAAGTCATCTGGGTGACTGGCGACAACAAATTGGAGCGGAGGGCCTGGTGCAAGAGGAGGCTTGCGTTGGCGGTTGGGTCGTTTCTTGGTTGGCTTTGGATCGCTGGATGAAGCCATGTCGTAAAGAAAATCACAAGGTGTAAGTTGCTCCAGAGCTGTGAAGCGACTTGAACCGATGCTGCTTCAGACATTATGTATTGCTGGCAATGTTGGGTGATGGAGGTAGAGGGACGTGTAGGCAGTCGACCGATAACGTAAGATCCAGGTACCGTATGCGATGCTTCAGATCAGTGCTAACCTTCCCTGAAGCCACATGCCATAGCCACACTGGGACAGCGGTGGAACTCCAACCGGGCCCGTTGCCCATCTGAATTTCGGTTATTCCCATGCAACTGTGAATGGAAGACCATGTTTCAAGAACCACCCTCAAACTAAGCTGAGCCAGTAGCAACGATCCAAAATGGATCAAGCAATACACAAGGCGGACATGCTGTTTGCAGATGCTCATGATCAACGTGCGTCGCGCACGCCGGTATGACTGCCCTGCCACAACGAAACCCGAACAGATGCCAGACAGCGGAGCATATTCGCTCTCCCTGGCGAATGCGGTGAACGCCCACCCTTCCGTAGGAGTGCCGAGGTGCATCCTAAGCTCCCTGACCCGCAGAACGCTGCGGGAGGGAAGGAACAGCCTCAACGTAGTGCGTGGCTGATGCATGCAGCAACATCGTCGAGGACCGAGCGCCGGGAACGTGGACAGGCCTGTCACGGCATACAGACCGCTACAATAGCCATTGATGATGCCAAGAGTCCTAACTAAGAACCGTTGTGATCATGCAAGGTTCAGAAAGTACCGTTCAATGGGACATTGTGTACTCTACCAGCTTCTCATGTCTGATCCGAATGTCGATTTCGTCTCGTTGCGCCCACTTGGTCCAGAGATTCATTTTCAAGCACAACGATAAGACGAAGTTTTGTTCGAGCGGGCCCCATCATGCTTGTAGTTAATGAACCCATTTTCCCAGTTTAGTCTTAGCGTTGAGCCGCACCCCAGTCACTGCATGTAAGCTGCAGGTGCACGCGATGGAGACTGAAGCGGCTTTTGGTCATTGGGTCGCTATGAGCTTCTTGGAGACCGCTTGTCTAGTCGCATCATCCAATCGTAACTATAGCTCAAACTGTGAATCGCAGAAACGTTGATCATTCGAAGACGTCACCCTAAATGCAGGGGTGGTTACCCACTACTAGGTTATCAGCTAGGCGCGTCTGCCGTGCCTGTATCGTTAAAAAGCAACAGTTTGAACATTGCGATCTTGCATGCAAGATGCTGCGTGCTGGACCGGCAATCGCGTAGTCTTGGATGTGGTGGCTGTAAAGCCGTGCCGCATGACGTTTTGCTTCCCCAGAAAAGTATGTATAGTAGATCACTGCTACTTCAGATGATGTGAAGCGTGAGTTACCACTTATAAACACCTGCATCTGCCAGCAGTTGCTCGGAGTGGCCGTTCTTTGCTTTGTTGAAACACAAGAGCTGTAAGGAGAAATACCTCGGCAGGTAATGAGTGTGGGTCGTCGACGGCACGAAGCGTGCTGTGATTTCTGCTTGGAGTGCTACAGACTCGCTAATACACACGAGGAGTGGAGCAGTCTGCATACAAGACGTCGTTCTAGAGAGGCATCCATCGAAAACGGGTGATGGGCAGAGAGCTGCAAGCTATGGGTTGCCCACGCTCAATCGCCTAAACCTCCGTCAGTAGATGGGCGCATTGCATTGGAATATCCTCGAAACTACATCTGTAAGTCGTATCTGGCAGTCACCGTCCACATGAACTATAACGAGTTGGACATCCATGTCTTCAGAGGCGAACGCCTCGCCACGATGACTGTGCATGACGATTTGTCAGGGCGGTGTGGAGCAGGGGTGTACTCTGCGAGCTCCAATACGTTTTCACGCTGAATTATGTCTTTCTGTCTGTCAATTTTGACCTTATGTCGTTGCCATGTTAGAGTTGCTGAAGCGGGTGAAAATCATGAGGCGTAGTAGTGAAGAGAAGGAGCTCTGGCGTCCTGTGGTCGTGGCGGGTGAAAACGCACGGACGACAACAGTTAAGTGACATCACATGGCTGAGGGCAGAGCACACGACAACACCTTCTAGCAGCACGCGATTGGAACATGATGTACAAGTCTAAACCATGATATCGTACGCTGTGCAACATAGGTAGCAGAGCAGCTCGTAACTAGAGCCTATTCCTCGTTCCAAGGAATTTGTACCTTCTTCCATGACATTAAGCGATGTTTAGTGACAGTAGGAAGTATAGGAATACACGCGAAAACGCCGAAGAGTGACAGCACCATGCTGGGCCAACATTGTCCACGCCCTGGTCTTCTGTCTGTGCAAACATTGCCGCTCACCTTTCGTATAGGTGCAGCATCATGTCCTCTTATATCCTGTGATGTCACGCTTATGAAGTCGTAGACAGCGGATCTACGTGATCGCCTTCGAAAGCAGCCTTGCTGGGATCGTTCCGCCTCATGATGCCTTCGACAGGGCCGAGAAGTCGCTGGAAGCCATTCTTTCCGAGCGTTGCAACCTTGACCTCTGTCTTGCTGATGACTGATGCCGCACGAGGAGCATCATTGAGCAAGGCCAGCTCGCCGAAGTAATCGCCCTTTTTGTATTGGTTGACGGCGCTGTCTACGCCGCGCTTGAAGACCTGGGCTTCTCCGGATTCAAGGAGGAAGAAGGACTCGCCGACATCGCCTTCTTGAATGATGGTTGTTCCAGGAGGGTACTTTTTGGTTTCGAGAGCATCGGCAATCTTGGAACGCTCGTAGGGCGTTAGGGTGGACAGCAGAGGAACTTCCTCTAGGAAGCCTTCGTACATGCGTCGGCGCTGGAAGGCACTGTCCATGAGGATGCGACGGAAGGTAATGCGATCTAGCGCCCAGAGCGTGGATGGCTCTGTTGAGGTGACGGTTGCGGCACGGGGAGCGTTGTACATGAGAGCTAGCTCACCAAAAGAACCACCGGGTCCGACGGTGCCTACTTTGCTGCCAACACCATCCAAACCACCCTCAACCTTACCCGACTGGTTGACATAAATGTCGAATGAGCCCTTTTCGACGACGTAGAAGTAATCTCCCACGTCGCCTTGCTGAATGACCTTTATGCCCTTTGTTGGTATCGGCTTCTCGTGCAGCGCGCCGAGCACCATGGCTGACTGGTCGTCATCGAGATGTGAAAAGAGAAAGTTGCCCGAGACGGCAGACTTGAGGCGCGATAGCTGGTCCTGCGTCTTCTGGTGGAAAGGTGGGGTGAAGTTGTCGGCAGCACTCGAGGCGGGGTTGAGCGACTCAGCAGAGACGGAAGTGCGCCTGTTGGTGTTGTAGTTGCTGGGGAAGTTCTGGCCTTCGCCTGAAAGAGGCGGCATTTGGGTGATGTTATTCTTTGAGGAGCCGCCAAAGCCGCCAAAGTCGCCAAACGCGCTCGCACCCGAGTCGTTGTTGCTGCTGCGAGACCTGCTAAAGTCGACGGCTGCAAAGGTCGAGGCAGTGGGGGAGGTCATGGTGTCGTTTTCCTCCTCCTCTTCGAGACGCTGCATTGTGGATTTGGTGAAGCCGCTACCGCTGCTGGGGGAGGTGCTGAAGGGGTTGTTGCCGGGAAAGGTGTTCTCGGCACGGCCCTGGGGACTGGAGTGCTGTTGCGACAGCAGATATTCGGTTCGCTGCGACTCGAGACGGCGATTAAAGAAGTTTGCGCAGAACTGGAGGATGTCGTGGGGCTTGTGTTTGAGAATTTCGCGGTCGAGAGTGGAGATCTCGTTGGAGTAGTCAGGAGGGAGGGACATGAGGGCGGTGGTGATGAGGGGTCAAGCGCAGCTCTTTGACGTCGGTCGCGAGACGTGCAGGGATGGAGGCAGTAGAGCTGCGAGGGTCCGGACGTAGCGTCAGCGGCAAGACGGGCAGCGAGGTGGACAGGTGAGGTCTAAGCAGAGTGTATTGGGGAGTAAGGAACGCAATTGCACGCTGCAGGCTGTGGCTGTGGCTTTGGTCGCAGTAAGCGCGGTGAGGATGCGCAGGAAGAGGGGACTGGTGCGGGAGGGGATCACGAGTGTGGGATGGCGGGCAGGGCAGTTACTGGTAAGGATCGAGGCAAGCTTTCCTGGGGCTTATTATCTTCCAGAAGCCCTCTAGAAACACGCGCACGCTGTAGGCACCCACTGCGACATATAGGCGACGGCTGCCCGCTCTGGGAGATGCAATTGGGTGCCACCCGCATTGCCTGTCGTGACTCAAACGCTCAATGCGCTCTCGTAGCCACCGTGTAGGACAGCTATGATAGCTACCAGGCCGCCGATGCCAATCAAGCTGTGCTTTAGCTCCCGCCCATGGCCTGCTCGTAGACTGCATCTTGCACTAACAATATGCCACACCTGAGTCGTCAACTGTCAAGATAGGACAATGGATGTAGGCAGGTACGGCTCCAAGCTGTAATTGACAAAGACTGCCATCGGTTCATGTTCTCACACGCGCTTGGGACAGCTCTAGTCGCCGTGTTGACTTGGTTGCTGCATCGCAGTCGTGCTCGCGTCATCAAGTCGCGCACGCCGTGGTGCGCGTGCATTGTTCAGTTACTGCACTGCCAACAAGGATATTTCGGGTGGAAGCTATTTATCCCAAGTAAACAATTCCTTAGTGAATGCCGTCTTCCATCTTTCGCAATCAGAGCAACGAGAATTGGTTTCGACGATGAAGCATGACATGGATACGCGCAACCTTGTAATTGGCGGTGAGGCACTCAAACGCGGCGCAGGCGATGCGGTGAATCCATCCATGAATATGTTGAGACGCGCGGTGCAGCAAGAGGACGAAAACTCTGATAAAGAGGCGTCCCGGAGGGTATTTGAGATATAACGATAACAGAGACTTGTTGTCTGGTACCTAGGTACCATCTATGGGTAGCAGCTGCTCACGTGCGAACCCCGGAATTGCCCAGCTATCCCGACCGGACATGGCGATGACGCACAAAGCCGGCCATGTGAGGCGCACGAGCACGCGGAGCAAAACTGGAGGGGCCGTGATGTATTTGTGGGCTGCGAGAGGAAGCGACCGAATACGAATTGCATGCACGGCATAACTCGAGGGTGCACGCGGAGCTCAGAATTATGTAGAGTAGCTGCAATTGAGCACCATGCCAGTTGTCTTTCGTCATTGCACATGCTGGCCGTCGGTCCCGCGTGTTCTAGGGCTCGCGATGAACGGCATCACGCCAAGCTTCCCTGCCGCTAACAGCGCCGTCTTTAATCTTGCAGATTCCGTGCAATATCGCGTCCAAACAGCCTTCCAGCCTCGCCAATTCTGCATCTAAAAGTCGTCGCGCTCCTTGACCCTCTGCGCTTGTATATTGTCTCCGCTTCTGTTGGTCTGAAGAAACAGTCGCAAGCTTCGTCGCCCCAAACTGTCCGAGCGCGCACTGGCACTGGCTTGATCCTCAAGCCGCAAGCTAGCTCCACCCGAACGCAGCTCCTGATCCTGACTTACCAACCACCTCCACAACTGAACTACTCCTCCTCCCTGCGCCCAAGACAGGTCTTACTCCCTACTCCCACTTTTGCAATCCCCGATCCACGTCCATCGCTGCGCTGATATGGGCAAATATACCTTCACCTGGTTCGTTCGCGACTGCCTCAAGTCGCCCATCGCAACTGCTTACACGCGCGCAGGGAACACTCGGCCAATGAGGTCTTCGTGACTGGCACCTTCGATGACTGGAGGAAGACGGTCAAGCTAGAGAAGGAAGATGGCATCTTCAAGAAGACTGTCGAGCTGCCCAAAACCCACACCCAGTACAAGGTACGCAGCCGCCCATCGCATAGCATCGGCTGCCCCGTTTGCGCAAACTTTGCTAACACGTCTGCCGCAGTTCGTTGTGAATGGTAACTGGTGTACCAACGACAGCGCGCGCAAAGAAGACGACGGTCACGGCATCATCAACAACGTCCTCCTTCCCGAAGACATCGTCGACGAGGAGCCCGTCAACACCATGTCTTCTGCCGCGCCCGAGTCCACAACCGCTGCGCTAGCCGGTGCCGTGCCAAAGGAGAGCGAGAAGGAGGCCAAGACCAATGCATCCAACTCCCCCGTACCTGGCGCCTTCCCTGAGACACCCTACGCAGAGACACCTGGCAGCGAACCCCAGACCTTCAACGTCGCGCCCATCCCCGCTACCTCAGGTCTCGGCAACCCCATTAAGCTTGCGCCTGGCGAGCCCGTTCCTGAAGCGAGCACCCTTACAGATAACACTGTAGACTCAACTGTCAAGCACGACAAGGAGCTTGAGCAGGAGCCATCAGCACTCGGCATCTCGCCGCTCCCGGCCACCGCAGGTGCTGGTAACCCCATTCACCTTGCGCCTGGCGAGAAGGTGCCAGATGCCAGCACCTTCACTTCCAATACCGTCGACAGCACAATCAACACCGACGCCTCATCTTATGACAAGGCCGATGCTCTTCCCCCACTCGCCTTCACCCCTCAAGCTGAGCGCGACGCCAATGGTGGCATGTTTGGCATTCCTCCAGTCATGGGCAACATGATTCCAGAGTCAAGCCTGCCAATGGGTGCAGATGCCAAGGTTGAGCAAGACACCGGCGTCACGATTCAGTCCTCAGCCACCCAGAGCACCACCGCCCAACTCGCCGGCCAGGTTCCCAAGGAGCCTCGTGGTGTCCCCGAGACCGTGACTGACAGCCAACAAGAGGCCCACGTTGACCCTGAGGCGTCCGCCAACCCAGAAGCCGTTCAGGACAAGAAGGAGGTCGAGCACGAGTTGAAGGAGAAGGTATCCGAAGCGCCTGCAGCCAGTGGAGATGCTGGTCTGAGCGACACTGCCAAAGCGGCCGCTGCTACTGCTGCTGCAGGCGCCGCTGCTGGTGCGGGTCTCTTCACTGCGGCCGTCTACTCTGCCAAAGAGAAGGCCGCTGAGGCTACTGGCATGACTGGTCCCAGCACCAGCACTGCTGACGAGGTTCCTTCCATCGTCGCTGAGAGCCAGAACACAGCCCATGCTGAGCCAGAAGCAGCAGCTAGCCCTGAGGTTGTTGCTGAGAAGTCGGTAATGGAGAAGGAGCTACTCAGCGAAGTTCCCAAGACCAACGAAACCGGAGAGCCTGCCCCCGCTATTGCCAGCGCCACCACCACTACTGCGGAGGACGTACCCTCCGTTGTCGCTGAGAGCCAGACCGCAGCCCACGCTGCGCCAGAGGCGGCCGCCAGCCCTGAGGCTGTTGCTGAGAAGTCGGCTATGGAGCAGGAACTACTCAGCGAGGTTCCCAAGACCACCGAGACAGGTCTCCCTGCCCCGGCTATTGCCATCCCAGCTGTCGTTTCCGAGAGCCAGAAAGAGGCACATGCAAGCCCAGAAGCAGCATCCAGCCCCGAGGTTGTCGCAGAGAAGACCGCTATGGAGTCTGAGCTATTGCGCGAGGTTCCTAAGGCCAACGAATCTGGTGAGCCAGCGCCCGCTGTCTCCGCTGCCACAGCTACCACCGCTCCTGTAGCTCAATCAGAGACTGTTTCTCGCGATGTACCCGAGGTTGTTGCTGATAGCCAACACGGGGCGCATGTTAGCCCCGAGGCTGCTGCTAACAGTGAGGCTGTTGCTGAGAAGTCAGCCGTAGAATCTGAGCTACTTGAAAAGCTCCCAAGATCCGATGAAGCGGGTGAGCCAGCCCCCGCACTGACTGCTGCGACTACCGCGACTGCACCTGTCGCTGCTGCTGCTGCTGCCACTGCAATTCCATCTGGCACAGCCAATGAGTCTGTCAACGAAGCCGTCGCTCGTGAGGTTCCCAACGTCGTCGCCGAGAGCCAAAAGGAAGCCCATGCTAGTCCTGAGGCCGCCACCAACGCTGAGGCAGTTAGCGAGAAGCGTGCTATGGAGACTGAACTTCTTAACGAAGTAAAGTCGACTGACGCTACTGGCGAGCCCGCTCCCAACGCTGCTGCCGGTCTCTCTGATGAGGCTCTTGTTGATTCAAAGCCACTCAAGTCTTCTAGCGAGCCCAATGCTCTCAACGCGCCCGCATCCGAGCCTGCTCAGCCGCCGAACGCTAGGCCCATCGATTCCAGCACCGACGTTGCATTCAACAAGCAAGCGCCAACTACCACCGAGCAGACCCAGCCAACCGTCACTACTGGTGTAGAAACAAGCAAGACTGAGGCTACAAGCTCCGCCCCAGCTGCACAGCTGGCACCAGAATCTCCTGCCAAGAACCTCAGGAAAGACTCAGACGTATCTCCCAAGGGCACACCTGGTAGCCAGAGCATCGCTTCGGGTGCCGATGACAAGAAGAAGAAGCGTCGCTCTTTCTTCGGCAAGATCAAGGACAAGCTTTCCAGCAAGGACAAGCACTAGATGGATCATCCGTTTCTTGTCTGCACATTTAGGCCGTCTTCATCCATCATGAGGGTCTTTGGAGCTTCGTAATACCCGGGGTCCATGCGCTGTGCTTCCTACCCCTCCTGTTCATCGTTCGTCACGGAGTTTGTGCTTTTGGTCTATACCATTTCCTTCCTGTGTCTGACATGTTCCATAGCAATCTGTTGCGTCATTTCTGTTCATATGCATCTCGAGAAGCAGGCGAGCTTGGGGTAGACGAAAGAGATTGCAGTCATAATATACCTGGGCTAGTTGGGATAAGTTGGTCAATGTCAAGAGATATGGGATGTTGACAGACCAACGGGATTGTATTTAATTTGCTAATGATGATGGGTTAGAATTGCTTCACAATCATCTCCTCTTTCTACTCTCATCACTCTTATTAGCCGTCATCAGCCAAATGGGCTTCACCCTGATCAAGCGATGTATTCGAAGCGACTGACGCTCTGTGAGGTCAGATCAAATTCCCAACGCCGTCCAATTTGGCGTCGCTCACGGCATGCATTCACTGCATGATTTACTCTCATCTGCAGAGACTGTTCATGGCAGCACTGTACACTCACTTAGAACTCATCGGTACTGTACAAGAAGATCCCTTAAAACCAACCGTATCATAACATAGTTCTGCAAAGATTATTAAAAACAACCGACAGCCGTTCAACTGTAACAACAACACAAGTTTAACGTTGACAAAAGCTCGAATCAAAAGTCAAATGAATGATCGAACGCAGTAACACAATCAACGCGAAGACCAGCCATACTATGTTACACCGTCCTTCCTCTAGAGGTACTGGGAACCGGGACACCCAGATTTCACAGCAACAACGTGAGCAGTATAGCGCTCTAATCAACAATCAGCGTCTCGCACCTCCACGTTACATTCGAGCCCGCTACGGGGCTGCAGCGGAGCTATCTCAGATGATTGACGAACATGTGGCATCATGGCAATTCTCACAAGCGTCAGACGATCGACCGACGAGCAAAGGCACCGTGATTGTCGATTGGGATGGCAGTGGGTATCCCGCAATTTCTTACCGAAGAAAGGCGACTGTGGTGGAAAAGGTTTTAGTGCCTCAGTTGGCACCCGCTCCCCTAAACTGCAAAGCTAGCAGCTTAGGAAAGGCGTATGCAAAGCAGGGCCGCAGGAGTGCAGCGGCCTGTACGCAGAAATCCCTACCATCTCTGCCCACAGACGAACCAGTCTCTAAGCAAACTAAACGCAAGTCCTTGCCTGCCGGAACTTCTGGTCCTTTTGTGTGGCACGACTCTGTCGTTTCAGAAGCTTCCAATCCATCGCGACGCCAAGCTCAATACTTCGCAGCTCCCCCATCGATTCAGTCACCAGTAGACCCTCAACACGCACAGTATGCAACCGGAGATGGCTTTACAGCTGACTATCACCCACCTCGCTACTCCAAAACTCTAGACTCACTCCGCCGTCCCTATATAACAGGCTACGACCAGATGACAAGTTTTAGATATGACTATGATGGGCATATCTTCCACGCGCATCGTTCCCCATCAAACTCCATTTCGTCTCCCCGCTGGTCCGCGCATTCAGATTACTTCGGCGGTGATGTGGATGAATATGATCCGCAAGCAGAATTGCGTATCGAAGATAAGGAGCTTTTGTCTTTGTCGGCTGGGGAAGGCCGAAAAAGATATAGCATGGGTAGATTTGTAGAAAAGGTTTTGTTCAAGCTGAATGGATTGGGATTGATGGAGAAACTGAGTTGTGATAGGAAGGCGGCTAGAGAGGGAGGGGCCTCTTGGCACGAAGCCGGGTATCATACTTGACAATTAATTGCTAATCTTTTGAACATGCGACTCCATGATGGGGTCTTGGTGGAAGTGATTTACATGCCACTAAGGATTAGTTGTTGTGCTCGTTATGGTTGCAAGTGAGTGGAAATGACTCATTGTGGCTTTCGAGCGACTGCGCCTCGTCTGAGCGGACACGTGACTCAGTATTGCACATGCGCTCTCTCAAATGCCAACCTTCCCATTCTTACTATATAACACATTAATGTCTCAGTTGATCCGATCAGCAAGACTGTTTCCCATCACTCTTTCACCTCAATACGAGAAGTGAATTTAACCCTCCTACCACAGACTCTTCATCTTACCTAGCTCGAGACTTCCCAACAAGCAATAGAAAAGGCGATGACAAAAATGGCTTCAGAACTGCGGACTGTGTTCCCGTGTAACACATGTTCTCTTACATACACAACAAGTGCGCTCCAGCGTGCACACATGCAACAGCCTTGGCAGTAAGATGGCACTGAGCATAAGAACTAGTATTCACAACACTGACAGTTATGCACAGTGTGTGCAACCTAAAACGCAAGGTAGCTGGGTTACCATTCATGACCGAGCAAGAGTTCGAGGTGCAAGAATGCAAGAGCGAAGAAGTCACACACCGACCAAGAAACAACGATGATACTATGTTACGGAAGCCGCGGACAATATTGTACAACGACAACATCAAGAAGGACACCAATTCCGAAGCCTATGTTGAAGGCATACCTGATGATCATTCCGGGAAGGCGCCTTCAACACAATGTCTCTTCTGCCCTTTCCTCACTTCCACTTATACAACAGCCCTAGAGCACATGTCCACCCACCATGGCCTCTTCATCCCATCGCTCTCAGCACTTTACTCCCTGGATTCTCTGCTCTCATACCTAGCATTAATAGTCTTTGAATACCACGAATGTCTATACTGCGGACAAGAGAAAGCCACTGTCGAAGCTGTGCAAACGCACATGCGAGACAAGGGACACTGCATGATCGACATGTCTGAACTCGGCGATTTCTGGGATCTCGAAGCAGATCAAGAGAATAAGGATGGCCAGACAGATGCGACCGTTACGAGGCTCCCAAAGATGGAGAGACGTCTGCCATCCATGTTGATCAGCAACTCTCGACACAGTCGTGGTGATGAGACAACATCGAAACCTATCAGACGAAGACACGCGCATTCACGGCACTTGTCCAACAAAACTACTGCCATCGCTCAAGCAGAGCACCAAGATCAGGATACTCCAATGAACTCATCATCAAGACAACTAGCTTTGAGAGCCACTAACAATGACCCTCATCTCATCACCACCCCACGTACAGCACAAGGTCTCGCCGGTCTCTCGGACCACCAAATCCTTGCACTTCAAATGGTGGACTGGAAGATGAAGAGTAGAGAAGAGAGTGCAAAGGCAAGAGTACGGTATGCGGCACAACAACAGCCAGTGAAGGCTATGTATTATAAGACGGAGAACCCAGTATACCAGGCTGGATGAATGATCAGGGTAGCGTACGAGAGTCATAGAGTGGTGGTGCAGCTTATACATGCTGTCTTGTAAACTATTGAGTGTAATGCACAGAAAGCTTAGGGACTATACGCTTCGGAACAAAACAGTGTCATGGCTTGGAGATGGAACATATGTATACAGTGATGCTTTTTCAGTAAAGTTCCAAGTCTACTACATTGCCAATCTAGCAGCTACGCGCTATGATTACCAAGAAAGTGTGATGTATCCGAAAACACATGAAGACGGTAAAAGTCTACATCTACTTCTCCTTTAAGAAGTCAAGGTATCCTAAGAGAAGTCACGCGTGCGTGTCTACAGGTCTGGTCCATCACGTTTGCTGATCCACAGGTTCAGATCAGCGCCATCAATGATACAAAGATCCTCGTCAACCTCCATGGCATCATCATCCCTGGCCGTCATCTCGTCAACCTCGTCCTCGTATGATTGATCCGGCTCCTCTAAGTTCATGACTTTGAAGTCGCTCAAATCGCCAATGTCGAATACTTCCACATGCGAACCGATGTTGCGGACACCAGGCATAGCAGCCACGAGACCTTGTAGTAGAGCGTTGCCTCTACAGTGCTCATGTATGCGCGAGGACTCGTAGTAGAAGGTGGGAAGCTCCGAAAGGCTAGATACCGATGCAGACGGTTCATCAGCGGCTGCACCTGAACCCTTCTTGTTCCTTCCCTTACCCCTAATTTTTTTTCTTTCTTCCCTTAGCCGCGGCGAGATTGATGTCCTCCAAGCCACCCTTGAAGGAGAAGTCGAAGAGCGCCTGTGTATCCAGCCTAGTTTTATCCCAGTGGGGACTGTTGCGGACTTGAGCCAGGTATTGAGTTGTGTTGACCTTGAAGGCATCCGTGCGCTTCGGACCAAGGACGATGAAGTGTTCAGGATGCTGTTTAAAGTGCCAGGCGAAGCGCAACATATGCTTTGTAAGGTTTGCGGGGTCAAATTGTGGGCCTAGGGTAGCGTGACGGTCATACTCCATGCAGGCGAGTGTATACGCGGCCTGGAGGGGCGTGTCGTTGTTGTTGAGGCGGGCAGCAAGGTTGGCAAGTAGGCGGGTACAGGTTTGACGATGGTGTTTAGAGAAGTTGAGATTAACCTCTACTGAAGAACAGAAGTAGGCAAGAATCATCTGCTCATTCCATTATTGCATGGGAATGTTATTCTTGAGGGCGATCATGATGTCGCCTCGGTATTTGAGGATGCCGGCGAAAGTCGCACCTTTGTTGACATTGTCGCTGTCGCGCTATTAGAAGAAATAATGAAGATAGTCAGAAAACTCACACTTTGATGTGGGAAGAATTGATGCTGCGCTGAGGGCTCAAGGATAGTATCGAGAGAAAGAGTAATGTGAGGCTTTACACCGGCTGAAATATACTCCGTTCTACGGCGAAGCAGCTCTGCTAGAGCAGCCTTATCGTCGAAGGTGAGCGGCGGTAAGATTGCCGTGACGGTGAACACTGAGGCGGTCTGGAATGTGGTAGTGGCAGTGGTGGTCAATATAATCGGGTCGCGAGAGAAGATGATCAGGGAGACAGAGATAGGGCGAAAAACGCAGGCTATATACTTGCTAGTGGCTATAAGACCATGTGATCGCGACATAAGCCATGGCTCTGTCATCTGTTGCAAGTGGGGTAGACAAAGTGAAAGTAAACGATATGTTACAGAGAACAGCAGTAAAACGAGATCTCACAATACGGATAAAGGCAAGATCCGTATCACAGTAGAATCGCTATCGAGAACGAGGAGAACAAAAAAAAGAGGAATGTCTCTTGCCCAGTTAGCTCCAAACATAGAAGCAAAAAAATGGTATTTGATCTTTGAAGCGGCTTCTGCCATCTCTTGAGTGCCTAGGTAGCGCCTCGAAAGAGATGACAGACCCTGACGTGGCGGGGGCTCAAACTAGCGACCAAGTTCAAACCCCCTACCTGTTCAAGTGAGTAAAGCTGCTGATGATGGATGGGGTACTTAGACTATAGCTGCTGTGTTGGTTAGTGATTGTAATCCTAGAATATTACCTTTAAATACCCACCCCAAAGCTAGATCACAGTATTTATAGCAGTGACAGACGTGGATAGGGCGTCTGAAGGCGGTCGCTGCGCGGTTGCAGGTCAAGTGAGTGAGCGACACCTGAGTGAGTGCGTAAAGCGCAAACTAAGCGAGAGAATCAAGCCTCGCAAGCATCTGATGAGGGAACTCAAACCGGAAGTCGTCCAGCGAGAGAGTATCGTTTGAAACTCAGTCAGGATGAGGCTAAAATGTCGTGAAGGAAGACCCCAATGTCAAGGGAATCATAAAACAAAGACACAAGACAAGGAGACCAGGCGAGTGGTATACCTCAAGCCTTGAACCTCAAGAAAGAATCGAGAGAATCGATCCGTCAACATTGCGAGGTAAGAAGCCAACGACCGTAGCGAGTAAGAACAATGATAACCGGAGAAAGACGGATGAATGAAAACACCCGGCTACAAAGTGCCTCGAGGCTTACGTTGGGTGACAATAGAACCTACAATAGCGTCTACGCTGCACGTAGGCTGTTGAGAGAAGGGACACACATAGTCGTGAGAAGACTCAAGAAAATAAATAGCAGTGTACAAACACGAAGCGTAAGCACAGAGTTCTGGGGTAGATCAGAGAACGCTTGGTGTGGGATAGTGTGCAATATGGGATGTGGTGAAGATTGAAGCTCTGATGTTGTGAAGAGTCGTGTCAAACTTCGCGCACCATACCGCTTTGAAGATAGCGTCTCCTGTCTTGCATGTTGCGTCCACGAACTTCGCAAACAACTTTACAGTATTATCGTCTATCTTTTATCGATATTTGAGAATAATATGTGTAACGGTACGCTGGTATCATGTTGCTATAAAAGCAGTATCTCTTCTCTTGTAATGCCTCACACTGTTGCCGACTTTCCGCTTGAGTATGTCATCTCCCGCCTTCCTTCGCACACTGCACTTGCTCAGACAATTAGGCATTATCCCATAAGTTACTTGCACCTTTTTGGCACCCTGAAGCGTTTGAGATTTGTGACAAAGTGCATGGGTCGAGACCTAGCACTATGCGGTCGTTCCTTACAACACTTTGTAAAATCACGCCTTCCCACGTGGTAATGTTCTCAGCACAAACAGCGCTCGCATCAGCCATAGATTACTCGATACTGTTGGTGAAGCTCTTAGCGTGATAGATGTATAAGAGGTGAGGCTCGAGCTACAGCTGTGAAGACTGTTGCGTCATGTCCTTGTTCATCTTGTGGAGTCTGGGGTTGTGAGATTACGAAGCACCTACACCCAGATCGCGTAGACATTCATCTTGTGCATTTGTAGGAATTCTATCGCATCCTTTTGTTTATTACCAGTTCGGATTTAAGATGCGAAGCATCGAGAATTCTGCCGCTATGCCTTGGCAGCTGACATATGCTCTCCCATTTGCCAATAATCGTCAGGTATTCCAGACTGCTGCATAGCATCTGCTTGACCTGCACATCAATTGGCACTACACATGCATGTACTCGGAACAGGTAGCCGTTAGATGAAATATCTGTAATGTAGTCTTCCAAAATCAGGGTGATGAAGCTAAAGGGCCGAACAGTTTCGGTGATGTAGCGCAACCATCGGACGGGCACCCCGGCACCGCCTACGTCATTGACCCTTCACCCAGAGCCGCATCCACGTTCTGACCAGGAACCACGTCTATCGCTCCACACAATCGGCACGTAGACAGCCCTATCAGTCGGAGGCGGTCCAGACACGTCGCACTATTGCGGACGTATCGGCTTTCCAACACAAATCTGATAGGTAGGCCGAATCTCCCCGATATGTCTGTCGAACTCCGAATCCGACGCGCTCAACAAGTTGCATCAGTGTCCGCCTGTATGCTATACTAAACAATGTGCAGTCGCAAGAGCAAGGTCTTCCGCTGAATAAACAGCTGACTGCGTCAAGGCATTACTATATGAGTCCGTGACTATACCAGAATTGGTAGATCCAGAAACTGTCATGTTGGAGATGCGACCCACAAAACCACGTTTTTTAGCGGCGGCCGATGCACCAAATGTGTGGGCAACGGCGATATCCAGACCCTGAACCCGGAAAACCCTATGTATTATCAATAGGCGACGTCATGCAAGAGAATCTTTTCGAACGTAGCTTGAGATGCATGGCAGATGTAAGAATGAGCTGTAGGTTCATTGTGTTCACAACTAAGTATATAATAGTAGGTCGCAGCTGCTGTTGAGAGTTCATCAAACCACTGAACATCAACTTTTCATCCCTTTTGCAACAAGATACCCAAAAGTTTTCTTATTACACCACCTCTTACAGTATATCACATTACATCTCAACACCACCAAGATGCCTTCCTTCACCGTCTACAAGGGCTCCAAGGACAGCAAGATTGTCAAGGGTCAAACTACCAAGCCTGACCTTCAGGATGACCAGGTGCTCATCAAAGTAACCGCCTCCGGTCTTTGCGGAACTGATGAGCACTACAAGGAGGCCGACATGGCTCTCGGCCACGAGGGTGTCGGTATCGTCGAAGAGCTTGGTCCCAACGTCAAGGAGCTGAAGAAGGGTGACCGTGTCGGATGGGGATACGAGCACAACTCCTGCGGCCGCTGCGACCAATGTCTTACAGGCCGTGAGACCTACTGCAACCAGCGCGAGATGTACGGCTCACACAACCTCGACCAGGGTAGCTTTGCTTCCCACGCTGTCTGGCGCGAGTCTTTCGTCTTCAAGGTTCCCGATGAGTTGAGCGACGCTGACGCCGCACCTCTGATGTGCGGTGGTGCTACCGTGTTCAACGCCCTCCACACCTACAACGTCAAGCCTACTGACCGCGTTGGTGTCATGGGTGTTGGTGGTCTTGGTCACTTGGCCATCCAATACGCCGCCAAGATGGGCTGCGACGTCGTCGTCTTCTCCGGTTCAGACAACAAGAAGGACGAGGCTATGAAGCTCGGCGCAAAGGAGTTCATCGCCATGAAGGGAAAGACTGAGATTAGCGTCAGCCGCCCCGTTGACGCTCTCCTTGTCACCACCTCGGTCATGCCAGACTGGAAGATGATGCTTCCCGTCCTCAACTCGAACGCCATCATCTTCCCCATGACTGTCTCTTTCGATGACTTCGCTATCCCCCACATGGGCCTCATCTCCAAGGGTATCACCGTTCAGGGTTCCGTTGTCGCCGCCAGGGCTGTACACCGCAATATGTTGGCTTTCTCCGCGCTACACGGCATCAAGCCCATCACCATGGAGTTCCCGTTGACCGAGAGCGGTATTGAGGAGGCTATGACCACGCTGAGGGATGGCAAGATGAGGTACCGTGGTGTTCTTAAGCCCCAGTAGATGGATGGCTTTGCACTCCTGATGGGATAATGGAAGATTAATGAACGGAGTATGACCAGAAGATACCGATGATAGATTTTACGAATCTCATATGTTTGAACGTACAGTTATTGTCCCTTGTCTTGTGATGACTGAGTCGTGACATTTGCCCATCAGTAGCATCTTTCGAAATTATCGACTTCTTCATGTTCATTGAGTGATTATGAACCAAATTGCTTCCAGGAGGTGTGAGTATTCTCGCGGTTTCTCTTTGGAGCCATGCTGCCTCAGGTAACTAGTTCTGTCATACACGGCTCATTCCACCACATGCAGCTACTCAGGAAATAAACAGATAAGAACAGGCAACATGTCTTCAGGCTTCATCCTCTGCACCATCGTGATCGCATACCTCATATCAATGACCGGCGTACCTTGAACCGCAGTCATGCCACCCCTAGTTTCCGCTTCAGCTTGTTTCTCGGTATGCTTAGTATGTGAAACATACGGAGAGAGAAGTGCCTCTAGTAGCCCGTTTCCATGCGACTCTTTGCCTTCGCCCTGATCTTTGGGCGCTGCATTTTCCATATCGATGTCTCCGTCCCTGGCCTTCTCCTCAACCCTCCTCTCCCACGCACCCACACCTTGATCTTTTCTCCCAGGTATCAACCCCCCAACAAACTTTCCTACCTCCCTCTCATATCGCTCCTTGCCCATCTGTTCCTTTGCAATAGCCAATTCAGACTCCCAACCCTTACTCAAAACCTTCATAGCATTCTTCATCAACTTCTTCTGCGCACCGCCAAAAACTGTGAACAAATCCCAAGGGCCCGATTTCCAGGCTCGAAGAAAAGATTCGCGAGCGGCAAAGCTGGAGGTAGGGGTGTTGTGGTGCTCGAGAATGGCGGTGAGATATTGAGTTATAAAACGAATGGCTGCGGAAGGAAGGGGTTTGTATGTGTCTTTGGTGTTGCGCGGGTTGTAAGAATCCTTGCTGCTATGCCCATGGTGGATCACTCGTACTTCACTGTGAGAAGAGTATTTGTTGCTGGTTACTTTCGAATGTTGAGCTAACAGCGCAACGTAAATCGCGGTATTCCATCGCACAATGTCGTGAAAGCGTTGGAATTGATGTGCTTCATCGAGTCTATAGAACCAGATCGCCCGTGTTATATCAAAACTCTGTTTGTCGTCGTCTTTGATCGCCTTTCCGGCGTAGTTATCGATCGCCGCGCGGTTCTGTAGGAAGAATTGGAGCTGGATGTCTGGAGGTATATTTGCAATGTTTAGCGCTCGTGGCGTTTGATCAAGTATGTCGCTGAGGATGAGGCTAGGGAGATGGTGATTTGGTACGCCCTGAAGTTTCGTCTTGAGTAGTAGTTCCAATTCAGCTTTCTTGGAGTCATCAAAGTCAAAGCCATGTGTGTTTCGCGCCAAGACGACGGTGGTGGTTGGCATCATGGACTTGTGTATTCGATAAAATCAGCAGCGGCGGTGAGTGTATTACCGTTATGACTTGTAGAAATATGACTGTCCATCTTGAGCGGCGTTCAGGCTGCCATGGCGCAAATCCGTTCGTTTGTTGGGTGGGGAAATTGGTAGGTGAAGGGCGGGAGCATGCATACTCTCGAGCGCCTGCACACCGCTGCACATTGACGAGCAAACAAATGATGCCCACCTCCCGCATCATGGAGTGGAAGAAAAAACATAACGTATCGATCGTGTTCTGTCCTTCAATCCATGTGTGTTCTTCACTTTCTTTACTTGCCACAACGTGGTGTACAGCAACCAAGTACAAGTAACCAGAATAATCTTGAGAATTGGGTAGTGTGGCGACGGGGCGTCCTGAACCCATATGCTTAAATCATATACGAGTTCATCCGCTATTAGGCTTTTCTGTACAACTTTGAATATCTTTAGTAGAGACAACCAAAATCTGTACTTGTGTCTAGCATCCGGTCATATTAACAGTCAGAGTTCTTTGAAAGTCGTGAGAATATGTGCAACGTCAACCGATCTATGTGAGCGTTCAGTTGGAAGATGGAGACGAAGGCTGCGTAGACACGGTAGCTGTGGCGCCTGTATACGGCGTGTAGTACATAGCATTACCCGCGAGAATACAACAAAGAGATGTATAGGAAGGAAGGCGGCTGTGCCAGGTATCAGATTTGCAACAGCTGTGTAACATGCAGGGTGTGATAGAAACCTCCAAGACGGTTGTCGTTCAAGTTGAATATATTAAACCCTATCCAAGATTGAACACGTGTAGGAAAGCCTTTTACCATCCACATCCTGACCTGGAAAGGAATCGCAAGATTGGATGCAACGATGTATCTTCACAAGCCACGGACCAAGAAAGTGAACAACAGAGACCAGAAATAGATTGTATTTGCGGTTGTTTTTGGAAGAAATAAAGAATGAAGATGATGAAACAAATTGACGAGATTGCATACAGCCTATTGTGAGGCACGTTTAGTCGTTTCGCGAAACTTCGATCTGGAAGTATTGTACAAGAATGCGCCGTGTTTATAGAATGTTTACTCAGGGTGAGCTGATGGCAGATGTTGCGAGGTAGATGAAGGGTCACTTTGCTGATGTTGGCCAAACGTGCGGTTACGCGTTTGCGCCCACTTGTTCCAAGGCTGGTGGGGCAGCTCCACCCACAAGCGCGCATGGAAAAGATGACGATCTTCAGGGTCAATCCAGTGCTGGAGGTTAGAAGTAGAGGCTGCGCGCACGATATCGATAGATGTGAGCGGGCCGAGCACCTTGAAGATTTTCTAGACGAGCAGATCCCGTGTTTCAGATGTGGGCGAGACGTTTGTTGATAGTTCGCAGACACGCGTTGCGCAATGTGGTTGAATGACGTTTGGCGCACCACCTGAATGATGATCCTTCGGTGGTACAATGGTGCTGGTGGTTGGGCTAGACATGTTCAGTCAATCGAGGTCCGATGTGAGGAAACAATGATGTGTAGACTGACGACACGTGCGAGCATTACGCAAGCCGCGGAAGGAGAAGCCGTGGTGTACAACGCCCAGAAACAGCAGCAGGCGCATGCGGGCGTGTAGTCTCGTCCATCTCGATGTAGTGAATCTACGGCTCATTGACCTCGCTGGCCAAGGGCGCCACACTCTGGTCCGCCATGATTGGCTGAGGGGGTTGGGTCGTCTCTATTTGCGTGCAGCCATCCGCTGGTGCCGAGAGCACGGATGGGGTTGTGGCCAGACTTGGTGTGCCGCAGGATGCCGGATGGCATAATGGCATAATGTTAACGTCCTTTCAGGTTGCACCACTGTGTAGCTGGCCGGGATGAGGTGGACGAGCGCGTTGAGCGTCTTGTTCGTATAGGGCGCTCAAATGAGAGAAAATACGAAGCGCTGGGCGGACCTGGCTCGCAAACTCTCAGTCAGCGCGAGAATAGGCCTAGAGCGTCGTGTTGATTGGCCAGGCGAGATTGTTCCTGCGTAGGAGTGTGGCGAAGCAGCTTTGCCCCCTGTCCCCTCGCCCCTGCCTCATCCGCCTGTTCCAGCCTGGCGAGGGCAGAAGACGGCCGGATTGAGGGCTGCGAAGGCAAACGTCGTGCTGGAGAGAGTCTGAGAGAAGCAGACGGGCATAGACTGACCGCAGCCTTGCCCTGCTTCTCTCCAGGACACCTCAATCGCAAACTTGACAGCCGTTGGACGACTTGTCTGACTGAGGCTGGGCGCTGAGCAGGTGCCGCGCGTATTCATCTGGCCCACTCGCCGCGACCAACATCGTCTCGCTCCCCTGAAGCCGGCACGCGGTGCATAGACCTCTGCTCCTTCAAGCTGACCTCCTCTCACCGTCTGCCCCATTTCTCGCACTCCTCAGGCAACTCCAAAACACCAACGTTGAGTTCGGTGACGACAATAGCCAGCTGATTTGTTTTTATTGGGTTGCGTGCAAGTGCTGATCGCTCCCGTCCGGTCGTTTACACATCCCCTTGGACTAGCGTCGCCCAGCCGCCTCTTCGCCGCGCGCTGATTCCCGGTTTCCTTCCCAGTTGTCCTGCGCAACCACCACTTTCGACATCACCACCGCTTTAGTCGCTCTCGACTGCCACTCGCTCACCCCACACTCACATTCACCCGCTCTCCGCCTGCCCTTCTTCACGCTCAGGAACCGCAAACGGACCCTCTCCCCAACCACAACCTCGCGCCGCTGGTTTGGCCGACCTTCCTCCCCGGTACTCGTAAGGAGTACGCCCGCGCCTGAGGCAACTCGACTCCGCGCACCTAATACACCACAACCTCCACCCCAGCAACTCCGCCTACCATGAAATTCTCCCTATCTAAGTCGCTGTTATGGCTCGCTGCCGTCGCCGCGCCGCTCGTCTCCGCTGAGCGTGTCATCGAATCCAAGTCGCTCAACCCGTGCATGTCCAACTCCAGCTTCTCCGCCACCCTCTTCAATGTCGCATTCACTCCCAGCAATCGCAGTCTGGGCTTCAACATCGAGGGAATCTCAAACATCGCCGGCAAGATTGAGGCCGACATTGAGTTGCTCGTATATGGATACTCCGCCATGAACCAGAAGCTCGACCCCTGCAGCCAGAAGGAGCTCGAGGGCATGTGTCCCATGAACGCCGGTCCACTGACCATCAAATCCAACATCGACATTAGCCAGGACGTCATGAGCGTAATTCCAGGTAAGGCGCGCCTTCAACGTCGTGGTTGCACACTTCTGACATGATATAGGCATCGCATACACAATTCCAGATCTCGACGCTGTTGTACGAGTAAAGATTAGGGATGCAGAGTCGCATGTTCAACTGGCATGCGTTGAGGCAGAACTGTCAAACGGGCATTCAGTCGACCAAAAGGCCGTGGCATGGGTGACGGCTGTCATCGCAGGTCTGGGTCTCATGGCATCTGCTATCACCTCTGGACTGGGTCACTCCAACACCGCCGCGCACGTCGCAGCCAACGCCATGTCACTGTTCGGTTACTTCCAGGCACAGGCCTTCATCGGTCTCTGCGCTGTTCCTCTTCCCCCCATCGTCTCCGCCTGGACCCAGAACTTCCAATGGACCATGGGTATCATCCGCGTCCAGTTTCTCCAGGACATGGCAACATGGTACCAGCGTGCTACCGGCGGAAGCCCAACCACCTACCTCTCACAGTTGTCGTACATCTCCGTCGAAGTACAAAAGAAGAGGAAGATGAGGCGTGCTCTCGACTTCACCACTGGGGCTGTCGGACGCCTCATGGCCCGTAGTAACGCTGCCGCCACCGAGGCACAGGCTGGTGGAGACCGTTTGGTTCTCCATGGCATCGAGCGTGTTGGTTTCAAGGCCAAGATTGAGACCACCAACATCTTCTTTACCGGATACACCTTCTTCGTCATCTTCGTCCTCTTCACAGTCATTGGCGTAGTCGCCTTCAAGTACATCTGCGAAGGTCTTGTCAAGGCTGGCAGGATGAAGAACGACAAGTTCGTTGACTTCCGCAATGGCTGGCAGACTGTACTCAAGGGTATCCTCTTCCGTGTTGTCCTCATTGGCTTCCCGCAGATGATGGTCTTGAGCTTCTGGGAACTGACCAAGCGTGATTCCGCTGGTCTGGTCGTTCTGGCTATTCTGTCCATGCTCACCATGATTGGCATCCTCGCCTGGGCTTCTTCAAAGGTTGTTCGAATCGCGCAACGCTCCATTGCTATGCACAAGAACCCTGCATACATTCTCTACTCAGACCCTGTCGCGCTCAACAAGTGGGGTTTCCTCTACGTCCAATTCAAGGCTGCCGCCTATTGGTTCATCATCCCATGGCTCGGATACCTCCTTATCAAGGCCATGTTCGTCGGTCTCTCCCAAGGCAGCTTCAAGACCCAGGCTATCGCACTTGTCCTCATCGAGGCTGTTCTGCTTGTTGGCGTATCAGTGCTTCGCCCATGGATGGACAAGAAGACCAACGGTTTCAACATTGCCATTGCTGCTGTCAACTTCCTCAGCGCTTTCTTCTTGTTGATGTTCACTGAGATCTTCAACCAGCCGGTAAGTAAGGCAGACTCTTGTGACTGTGCTCAAGCTAACCTCCACAGGCCATCGTCACTGGTGTCATGGGTGTCATCTTCTTCATCATCAACGCCGCCTTTGCTCTGATTCTCCTTCTCATGCTTCTTGTCTCTTCCGGATTCGCCTTGTTCACCAAGAACCCCGATACCCGCTACCAGCCCATGCGCGACGACCGTGGCTCCTTCATCAAGTCGCAAACTCAGCTAACCACTGAGCTCGACGCACTCGGCGCGACTGCCCGTGGTGAGGGTAAGGGTACTCACCCTTACACTGGATCAAGGAGCCGTATTGACGACGAGGATGATTACTCCTCCGAAGAGCAGCGACAGATGGCTGCCAAGGAGGGTGGTTTCAACGAACACTATGCGGCCGTACCACCACGAAGCCAAGGCAATGACGGAACTGTCTCACCGTCACCCCCATCCTTCTACGAACGTCGAAGCCCAGCACCGTCATACCGCCCCGGCAGTAACGGTCAAGGCCAACCGCAGCAGTATCGCCAGAACAACAGCCCAAGCCCTTGGCAACGAGGCGCAGGATATGAACACTGACGCCAGAGCGAGCACGAGGAGCAGGTGGGCCAAATTATCGATTCGTACAAACGCTCCTCGGTCGCTCAGCAACAGCAACAACAAAATCAACAAAACAGATTCTGAGCTATCTATGCGTTTTGTGCATATTTTGGGCATCCATACCAATATACTGTAATCATCAATCGAAATGGGTTCACATGGCATCAGTGCAAATGGCGCGATCACACGATTACCCATCATGAAGCCGGCGTTTTACTTCGACCTCTCTGTATCCGGTTGGGCAGAGAGTTGTATCTTTGGGGTTTCCGTTGACTGATAGAGGGGCGACGTTACCTATATATCCGTCTCGTATATATGTAGTCTTTCTCCGTCTGGCATATCATCGGCTTCTCCTTTCTCCTTGTGTCTGGGTCTCTTTCTCTCCTTTGTTAAATCGTGGGCGCATCGGGAGAACATTTACCAATTCCCTTCAGCGTTTCTGTTCGCATCATCGCACGCGCTGCCGGTGTGGGGCAGATAGTCAATGGATAGTGACTAGGAGAGTTGGGGATAGAGTAGCAGAGAAATCAATCCCTCAAGCATTCAAGTACTATCCATTTCCCCCTTTTACACCTACCATGCCCCTGATAAGAAGCAACACAATCTTATCAATATCTGAGAACCAAAGTATGGTCTAACCCCAAATACTCGTCTGATAACCTGCAGCATGAAGTTCGGTTTGGGCTCCACTCTTGTGCATGGCGGCTATTGAGGTTGATGGTCGGGCTGTCAAATTTCCCTTATCAGCGTTGACCATGCCTACTTTGGGGGTACGTGATATCAACAGGCGCGAGGCTGGTATCCGGATTGAACTCTGGAGCGAACGGGTGGCTTGGAAATCGCCCGATGAGCAAGGTCGAGATGGTACAGTAGCCTGATAGGTCCCCCACATGCAGCCATGTGTGCTCACCTAGCGCAATCTGCGAACTACACTTGCAGGTGATAAGCCCACGCCCGTTGTCCTAACCTTAGCTCGAAGCTTGAGGCCCAGCGACGTCAACAAAAATTACTTTATTGGCCTACCGGCATGTGCATCCGGGGTAGTTTATTCACGATGCTCGATGCTGCAAGTGCAGAAGAGGGGGTGTCGGCGCAGTTTCTCCAATTCGATGGCTAGAAAATCCAACGATGGTCACGATGCATGACGAATCTTTCGAGCGATGACACAGGCACGTCCACGATAAACGATGTCGAAGTTGGGAGTTGATCAGTCTTCTCTCCGATGCTCGGCCGTGCAAAAAAAACGCATCCCATCTCCACGTTACGCTGTCATATTTGCGGACGGAACGGCAGCCAAACGATACACCAGTGATTTGAGCCAACGATGTGCTAGCGATAACTCACGATAGCTCCACACTCGTTGCGATCTCATGACTTGACCTGTGACAGCTGCGCAGCCCATCCCCACAAGCCACGGTGTTCATGCCGACGTCACAGAGAAGAAGCACCGAGTGTCCCCAGAATACCTCCGAGCGAAGACGTCAAGTGTCGCATCTGTCCAAGCAGAGAGCCCGATGCATGGCACGCAGCAGCAAAAC